TTTAGAATCTACATATGAATTGTTCATAGTCTGCTAAAAGAACTACATCAGAAGATAATTGGTTTATTGGAAAGTAGCATAATTGGATAGAAAGATAATTAAGTTTTAAAAAGGTGAGGTATTAAAAATAGATTTCAATAATATTTGATGGTTTTTCTCTTATTTGGTTCTTCATCATTTTAGCTCCAAATCCAAAGAAATGCATCGATTGTATTCTACCAAACCAGACCTTAATAACATCTAATATCATTAGAAATGAGTTGGGTGGCAAATTTAATTTAAAAATGCTTATCACTAATTCTGCTCAATGAGAAGACTTATTTTATTCTTATTTTATTAAATTCATCACAATTCATAACTGGCAACAAAATGTATAGGTTACAGTGGGTGTCCAAAATGGGAGGCAAAAACAATTTGGTGGCATTCCAAAAGGATCAGAGCTTGCCTGTTGCTTCTCTTGAGTCTTATTATTTGACATCTGTCAACAAACATATGCTAAATCTTTGAAGCATGTCATAAATGGTCTTCAGGGTCAAATATGTCCACTATTATTGTTAGTAACATATCAGCACATTCAGAATAAAATGTGTGCCTCCACAGCAATCTGACCAGATGCTAAATTATAGCAAAATAATTTCAGTAGGTGACAGTACTGAGCTGATCTTGAAAAGCCAAGCAGGATTTCAGTTGTGTAGTACAGCTGTGTGATTATTCACAGGGGTTTTAGCAAAGCCTACTAGGAAGCATTCCTTTGAAGTTGCTTCAGGAAGCAAGGTAGTCCCCTGCCCTTTAAGAGTGAAAAGTGAAGTAAAACAATCCTATCATTTTGCCTTATTCAACCTCAGTGGAGTACCTCTCAGCCTTTTCCTACAGAACTCATGCTATAGGTAAAAGCTGAGAAGAAGCTTCTCCCTGTTGTTGGCTGAAGCATTTCTAGGCAGAAGGACTAGGTACACATTATAGGACTGCCTGCGATATATGCTAAATTGTCCAATGCGTCATGAAGGTTTTCCAGGCTCTACAGCTTTGTTGAACGTTCTACAAAACCCTACACTGTATGCTAAAATCACTCAACCTGAAGCTTCATCCAGACCAGATGCCCCCTCCCAAACCCTTTCTCCAATGCTGTGGAAGAAGTACTGCTACCAAGCAGTTTGGATGGGGCAGACAGTGTGTTGACAGTGTTATTCTAAAATGTGGTGAATGCCAAGCAGCAACAAATGACACATTGCTTGCCAAAGTGCTTTCCAGACTGAATGATTCTGACATACCCTGTGGGCAATCCTAAAAGCAGCCAATTGAAAGCACTTCAGCTGGCTTTTAAAATCCCATTCCACATTACTGGCCTGAAGAAGATATTTATTAGAGAGGTTAAACTAGAAGAAGAGCAAGTTAAAGAACCGATTATTGCTTGGGGGAAAACTTTTGGATATGGGATTGATTTAGAGCAGCGGTTGCCAACCGGTGGACCGTGAGAAAATTTTGGTAGGCCGCAGAGAAATCTCACCCCCAGAGCACCTCCACAAAGCAATTAATCCAGGCTGCGCAGAAACACAAGGCTGCGCTGCCCACATGGCCTGTGGGAACCCTCCCCGCCCACTCACTCCTTACCCGGCAAACTTGCCTGCTAAATTGCTATTTTTCCTTTTTCCGACCATCATCTGTTCTGCTGTGCCGGGAGATTTAGATTAGCTAGGAAGTAGGAAATGGTTGGATTTCTTGCTTTCTAGCTAGTCTTTAGATCTTCGGCTCAGCACAGCCGAACCTCCCTTAGGACTGAAGGTTTGCTTGCAAGCAAATTCAGTGCAGACTCACGGCAAGAAAATTTGAGAGACTGAGCTAGCCGATGGCAGATAGATAGATCACTGAATGATTCTGTGAGCAACTCAATCTGCCTGCTTTGCCTGATTTTAGGTAAAAGTTGCTCTTTTTTATTAA